GTTGACATCAAGGCAATCTTTAGCATTGCTAAAGCATTGCTGGTGGGGGGAGGGAGGCTAAAGGCCAGCCTGCCAATGGTGGGGCGGGCGAGGTGGGGAATGTGAAGCAGGCCAGAGCCCGCTGAGCAGAGGGAGCGGACGGGTTGGTAGGGGGCTAGGAGGTCACAGAGGTAGGGAGGAGCAAGGCCATGGAGGGTTTTGAAGATGAGGATCAGGATCTTGAACTGTATCATCTGAGTGATGGGGAGCCAGTAGTCCTAGAGTTGAGTATGGAGGCGGAAAGGTAGAGTTGGGTGTCATCCGCAACAGTATTTTATCATTTGATTGTTGGTCTGTGACTGATGAACTGAGATTTGGGTATATATTTAGGCACTTGACTCCTCCCCCATCCTAGTTTGCTTTCCTCAAGTGAGAGACCTGGGTTCAATTCCGGGCAGGGCGAAACGTTGGGCAAGTTTCCTTACTCCACACGCCTCTTGTTCACCTAGCAGTAAGTAGCAACCCATTTGTTATCCGATTGGCAGATCACTTTTCCGGGGGTAATAATTCCATTAAAAAAATACATAATAATAATTTGGTCACTCAATCCACGACTGTTTTTGGGACATTGCTGTGCACCCACTGGCTGCCGTGATTCGCCCACAAAATATACACTTTACAGTGTAATTCTGTGAAGCGCTTTGAGATGCCTTGAAGACATGATAAGGCACTGTATCAAATGCAAGGATTATTATTATGATTATTATTTGAGACCAGTCCAGGCAACCAATACATCACCTGTAGCCCTATTCATATTACACCATCAGGGTTGACTTTCTATGCAATTTGGCCTTTTAAGTTAAAATAGTCTTACAATCTAAAACTAGATGGAATTTTCATCTTCTGAAGTCCTGTGTGCAATTCTGATCACCTAATCAATGGAGGGATAGTTTCTCCTTGAAAGAATATTCTTATTAAGCAGGATGATTTGGGGCAGCAGGAGTTGAACCAACTAAGAAACAGCATTTCGTGTCAGGTAATATCTCAGAGTGCTTCGAGAGATGGCTTAGATGGTGAGCAAGGGAGAGTGGCAGTGAGAGGTGACCATAGGCATCTTCGAAGAGGTAGGATTTGAGTAGGGCGGAAAGAAAAGGTGCAGGATGGAATGGTAGAAGGAGGGAGTTGCAGAGGATAGCGGAGTAGAAACTGAAGTTTTGGTCACCGATCATGACGCAGAGCAGGCGAGCAACCCAAAGCAAGGGAAATTGACTTTTTTCTTTGGTTAAAAAGGAGAGTTTCAGGTGAATTTATTGAAGATTGTGGGAATATGAGGGCATCAACTCACCTGGTGAGCCAGGCAAATTGTTCTCTCCAGAAAACCAAGGAACAGAATCAATATTTAAAAAAGTTAGGGAAGTTGAGCAGAATTTTGTTATGTCAAGACAAAGACATAGATATAGAAATGGCAGCAGGGAAGAAGGCTATGGTGAGTAGGTGGATATCTAATCAGAACAGGACAGATTTGTTAATGCTTAATGGCTTTTTCTTGTTGCTGAAAATTCTTCTGCTTCCTTGACTTGAGAGGAGTATGTGTTGACTTTGAGTGAAAAATGTGCAAATGTCATGCTTTTCTCAAGACTGACACATCAATTTTATGATCACAACTATTAACTAAAACAACACGTTTAAAAGAAAAAGAAAACTGTGTGACTCTTATTTACTGGTTTTATAAACCAACAATATATCCTGTATAGCAAAGCAAAATAATTATAAGTGTGTATTTTGTTATAAAAACTGTCTAATATCTTGTACCCCCTTACCTCTCTTATCCCCTTCTACCCCACTTCTCTGCATGCCCCTCTATGTAGCTGCATGCACCTGGTGCTCCTCTGTGCCACCAGTGGGACTGAGCCTTCATTTTCTTTGGCTCAAATCTCTAGAACTTCCTTCCTCTACCACTCTATCTCATCCTCGCTCTTCTGTCTTTATGTCCCGCAACAAATCTTAGCTTTTGAAGGGTTTTGATAGGGTAGACATAGGGAAGATGTTTCCTCTTGTGGGGAAGACCAAAACCAGGGGCCATCAATATAAGATAGTCACAAGTAGAACAAATAGGGAAGTTAGAAGAATTTTTTTCAAACAGAGAGTAGTGCAAATGCGGAACATGCTACCACAAGGAGTTATCGAAGCAAATAGCATAGACGTATTTAAGGGGAAGCTACATACGTACATGAGAAAGAAAGGAATAGAAGGTTATGCTTGAAGGCTTAATTGAGGAAGGGCAGGAGGAGGCTCATGTGGAGCTTAAACACCGGCATAGACCAGTTGGACCGAATGGCCTGTTTCTGTGCTATATATTCTAATGTAATGTATTCTAATGTATTTTTGGACATGCTTGTGGCCACCTCTCCCCTCCCCTCCCCCGTCCTTCGATAGTAGTCTGAAACTTTACCCTATATGAAGGGCCCAAAGAAATGGAAATTCATTTCCATTTCTTTGGGGTGTTATTCATTAAAAGGGATTTTCTAGGTCTTCAATGTTGCAGGTTGAATTGGTTGTAGTTAAGAAGATTTAGAAAAGGCCCTGTTCACTTGTGCGCACTCCAATAGTACATGATGGCAGCTTTCTAATTTGATATTACATTGGATCCAATCTTATTTACGTATGTATGCATTGGGATTAATAATAATAGATAACACTAATCCTTTCATTTGATATAGCGCCTGATCACATTGTCAAGAAGTCTAAAAGAGCTTCACAGTAAAGTTATAGGATTGTGTGTATTTTGTACACAAACACAGGAAGCTGTGCACAGCAATGTCCCACAAACAGCCATGGAGTGAGTGTCCAATTTTATTTGGGGGAATGTTGGCAAGAACACCAAGAGAAACCTCCATCTCTTATCAAATAGTGCCATGGGATCTTTAACATCCACCTGAATAGGGAGATGGGACCTCAGCTTAATGTCTCATACAACTGATATCTGATTGCTGTGACAACTTGTAACATATTTAAGAATCAGTCATATTATCCTTGAATATAATCAAGGATCTCAAATTACTCTTTCTTCTTCTTGTACATGGTACTACACAAATACTGTATGTGAGTCGTACAAACTTGTACCATAGTCTAAACCCACTCTCTGTACAGAGCCACAATCCAAAAAGCATTCCAACTCTCTCGTACCATAGACTGAGCCAAAGATCTGTTTAAGACGATAATGGTAACAAATACATTCACAGGCACTTCCCAATGACAGGGATAGAGTTTAACACAAAATCAACACATTAAATTCCCAAGGCTCTGAGATCTGCTGATTTGTAGAGCAACACTGCCCCCTGTTGAGGACTGGAATGGGACGATTCTTTTGCAGCAAGCAAAAGTTTTTATTACATTACATAGCTTGATAGCATTACACAGCAACACTCGACGGGTGTCGTGACCGACTGCCCGCTGCTCCGCACTCAGTCTTGCTGTCTACAATTGAACGTCAGCAAGAGCAAGGATCTCCTGATTGCCTCACACCAGCGCCTCCGCACCTCAGGCACTGGCAGCATCAGCATCTACACAGGCACATTCTACCCCACCAAGCCAGTCAGGAGCCTAGGCATCTTGTCTGACCCTCACCTGTCTTTTCTCCAACACATCCGTGTCATGACCCGCTCTGCCTTCCCCCACCTCCACAACATTGCCCGACTCCGCCACTGCCTCACACCTCAGGCCGCTGAAACATTCATACATGCCTTCATTACATCTAGGCTCGACTATGCCAACTCCCTGCTTGTCAGCCTTCTTAGCTCTTCTCTCCGAGCCTTCAAGGTGTAGCGGGAATGTGGAATTTGCTACCACAAGGAGTTGTTGAGGCAAATAGCATAGATGTATTTAAGGAAAAGCTAGATAGGTACATGAAGGAGAAAGGAATAGAAGGTTATGCTTGAAGACTTAATTGAGGAAGAGCAGGAGGAGGCTCATGTGGAGCATAAACACCGGCATAGACCAGTTGGGCCGAATGGCCTGTTTCTGTGCTGTATATTCTAATGTAATGTATTCTAATGTATTTTTGGACATGCTTGTGGCCACCTCTCCCCTCCCTCCCCCGTCCTTCGATAGTAGTCTGAAACTTTACCCTATATGAAGGGCCCAAAGAAATGGAAATTGTTGGTGTTATTCATTAAAAGGGATTTTCTAGGTCTTCAATGTTATAGGTTGAATTGGTTGTAGTTAAGAAGATTTAGAAAAGGCCCTGTTCACTTGTCGCACTCCAATAGTACATGATGGCAGCTTTCTAATTTGATGCTACATTGGATCCAATCTTATTTACGTGTGTATGCATTGGGATTAATAATAATAGATAACAATAATCCTTGCATTTGATATGGCGCCTGATCACATTGTCAAGAAGTCTAAAAGTGCTTCACAGTAAAGTTATAGGATTGTGTGTATTTTGTACACAAACACAGAAAGCTGTGCACAGCAATGTCCCACAAACAGCCATGGAGTGAGTGTCCAATTTTATTTGGGGGAATGTTGGCAAGAATACTAAGAGAAACGTCCGTCTCTTGTCGAATAGTGCAATGGGATCTTTAACAATCACCTGAATAGGGAGATGGGACCTCAGTTTAATGTCTCATACAACTGATATCTGATTGCTGTGACAACTTGTAACATATTTAAGAATCAGCCATATCATCCTTGAATATAATCAAGGATCTCAAATCATTCTTTCTTCTTGTTGTACATGGTACTACACAAATACTGTATGTGAGTCGTACATACTTGTACCATAGTCTAAACCCACTCTCTGTACAGAGCCACAATCCAAAAAGCACTCCAACCCTCATAGACCGAGCCAAAGATCTGTTTAAGACTATAATGGTAACAAATACATTCACAGGCACTTCCCAATGACAGGGATAGAGTTTAACACAAAATCAACACATTAAGTTCCCAAGGCTCTGAGATCTGCTGATTTGTAGAGCAACACTGCCCTCTGTTGAGGACTTGAATGGGAAGATGCTTTAACAGCAGGCAAAAGTTTTTATTACATTACATAGCTTGATAGCATTACACAGCAACACTCGCCGGGTGCCGCGACCGACTGCCTGCAGCTCCGCACTTGGTCTTGCTGTCTACAATTGAACTGGTACCAGACTGGGTCAGTGAGGTGGAGTGTGCATCCTTGTTATTATACGCTAAGAATAAGTGGAATTTCAGGCCTTCAGATTCGACACATTTCACATTGAACATCTCTTGTAAAAGCGATTGGCGCAATGAACCTTAAACCATCTTGCCATATATATGGGGGAGGCCCACATCATCCCTTGGGATTAATGGCCTCTTTATAATGCTGCAAGCAAAGTGCTATTGCTTCCAGAGACAGAGCACTGTGGAAAGGTGAGGCCTGATTTATGCACTCTGCCTCTCATAAAGTCAGCCCGGGGCTGACGAGACAATCAATAAAAGAATAGCACCCGATCGCAGAGTTCTGCGTACGCACAAGTTTAATAACATTAAAAAATGGTCACTTGAAAGCAGACCACACAAAAACTTTTAAGGGACTATTTGGAAGCAGAGCCAGATTCACAGCCTTGTGTTTACAGTGCTCGTGTGCCAATCAAAGTGCTACTAAAACCGCCTCCTCTGGATGGACTTGGCTCAGGGATCGGGATGATTCACTTGTGAACAGTGCTGCCCAACCCTACTTTATACTGCATGTTTTGTGAATTCATGCTGATTCATCGTGAAACTATAAACACACCATAAAACATTCAAACTATGGGTATCTCTGAAGGCAATAAATAAAACATCCGAAAGACGAAGCCAAATTCTCAGTGTGAATGGCTGTACTGACAACTGAAAATTGTGAGCTAATGTGGAAACTTCTAATTTTCCTAGCAGAAACTTTCTTCCTGCACATGCAATTGGTGATGGATGGTTAATAATCTACTGTAGGGTTACCTCAGGGTCAGGCCAGGGGCACACAGGAAGAAAGCTTCATCTACAGTGCGCTTGAACTCAAGGGAACCTAGACAGGGATGGAGAATGGAGTGGGAAAGGAACTGGATGGGGGAAGAGGAGAGGATATGAAGAAATTAGTGGGAGCCATCACTGATTGAGTGGGGAGAGATTTAATGGGGTTCAACATTCAAATGAAGGGAGAGAGAGAAAGAGAGAGGGAAAAGAATGAGGGACTAAGAGAGAGAGTGAGAACAACAATAAGAGAATGAGACATACAGAAAGAGAGCAAAGGAGCAAGAGTAGGAAAAAATGAAACAATGAGAGAGTGATTGAAAAAGTAAAAGACTAAAACGAAAGAGATATTGAGCTTTATGATTCCAATCATTGACAGACAGATTCCAATACATTGTATTCCCCATTATTCTCCTTCACTGTTACTTGCACATAAATGTTCCTCAGTGCAAGCTGAACAGTAAATAACTTATTTATTCCTCATTAGTACTTTCATCTGGCAAGTCAGGAATCAATATGAGGCATATTATTAGCCGCAGGACATTCTTATGGACCATCAGTCTCCCAATTTCTGGTTAATTATCCAAAGATAAATCAGCCTCTTGGCGTCCAATATGAGAAGTTACCTGGGTTACCACCAGTTTCTCTTCTCTTTCCCTCATTGCTCTGGTTACCAACTGAGCTACAGCACAGATATTTGTTTCCTTCAGCACAGGGTGACCATGCACTGGAAGAGAGAATAAAAAATAAAAATAAAGACAATGCAAATTTCTAATTCAACAACGGTAACAGGTTACATTTACATTTATTTATAAAATATGGCCAGTGTGTACTATACACTGTGGCCATAGTGTGTCCTATATGGAGTCCTGTAGCTCAGTGGTTAGAGCACTCGCTTTGCAAGTGAGAGACCTGAGTTCAATTCCAGGCAGGGCGAAACCTTGGGCAAGTTTCCTTACTCCACACGCCTAATAATAATCCCTCCAAAAAACAAAACAATAATAAATTGGTCATTTTCAATTTACGACTGTTTGTGGGACACTGCTGTGCGCAATTGGCTGCCGAGTTCGCCCACAAATATAGTCAATTCACTTTACAGTGTGTTCTGTGAAGCACTTTGGGACGTTCTCCCGACGTGAAAAGTGCTATATCAAATGCAAGGATTATTATTATTATTATTATTATATAGTGTGTTCCACCTGGGTACCGACAAACAGGATTTTGTTTTAACATCTCACATAATAATAATAATTTGGTCACTCAATCCACCACTGTTTGTGGGACACTGCTGTGTGCAATTGACTGCATTTTGCCTACAAAATATTCAGTTAATTCACTTTACAGTATATTCTGTGAAGCGCTTTGAGATATCTCGAAGATGTGATGAGGCGCTATATCAAATGCAATCATTATTATTATTATACGAAGGACAGCACAATGGAAATGCCAGTTAATCATAGCAGTGCCTCAGCTAACTCAGAACAAACTAGGCATCAAACAATGAATGTTCCTAAGTATATGGATAAACTATTCAATGAACAAGTCACCTTTGAGTCAGAAGGTTGAGGATTCAAGTCCACTGTTTGGACTTTGAACACAGATGTCTAGGCTGACACTCCAATGCAGTACAGGGGGTGTGCTACATTCATTCAAATGGGATGGTAAATGTAGGTTCTGTCTGCCTGTTTAGGTAAATGTTAAAGATCCCATAGCACTATTCAAAAAGAGAAGAGAGATTCTCCTGGTGAATTTTCCAAATATCCCTAAATGAAATTGTTCATTAGCTTGGCTGTTTGAGGAATATTACCATCTGCAAATTGGCTGCCACATTCACTGTCAAAATACAAACAGTCTACTGCTTTACAGTATTTGCATGAAGCACTCTAAGACATCTCAACAAAGTGATAAGGCACTATATCAAATGCAAGGCTAATTACGATTATGAACTAAGTGTTTGCAGAAATGTGATGATTTAATCATTAAGAAATCTGTTGAGAAATATTGGGATGATACTTGCAATTCATTATCAAATCTGCTAAAATACTGAAGACAACCCACCACTCCCCTCCCAATTTTGATATAGTAGTTTGATCTGAAGATTTTAGCATTATCATTGCAGCCTGTAGTGTTTCACAAGTTGCTGATTTAAGTTGTGTTGAGTGAAGTCAGTGTTCTGAGAAACTACAATGAAACTTACTCTACATCATAGAATTAATGGTAGCAGTTGTGGCAATAACATTGCCAGACTGCCTTCACACACTGCCATACAATTCAAGTCAGATGGGGCTGGATGATTCAGCCAGTCTAACATTGAGCTGGAAATTGCTGATTTTAAACAGATGATTTGAGAATGCTATTTAAAACTGTTAAAACTATTTTTATCCCAATGCAAATGAGAATATATATGATGAGTTAATTACTTGTCTTCAAAGCTCACCTTAAGATCAATCTTTTCCATCATGTTTTCAGTCACCTTCCTTGCCCTCCAGTTCCCCCCTTCTCCTTCAAACTTGGCTACCATTTAAGCAACAAAAGAAGACATGTGAGGTGTTACATAAATGTGAATTGTTGTCTGAAACAAAAAATCATTAAAAAATTTGTGAACCCTTAGTTCCCTTTCCCAGACTTCACTAACGTTTTCTGGTTCAAGCTAAGTTTTGTAATCATGCAGAATTCATTTTCACTGAAACAAGCACTAAAAAAAANCTTAGATTAAATAGGGAAGTTAGAAGAAATTTCTTCACACAGAGTAGTGGGAATGTGGAGCATGCTACCGCAAGGAGTTGTTGAGGCAAATAGCATAGACGTTATGTCCATTAAATGTATGAAATTGCATTGGAACACTTATTTTAAAACTGCATAATAGTAAAGTACCATTTGTTGAATTAAACTCATACCTCTAACAAGGTGATAATGACTCTTTTAAAATCCCCTAAAGCAATATCCTTTACCAAGTCATCTTTATACTATATAGAAAATATTTACAAAGAAAATGTGACTATTACTCCCAGTTAACAGGATTTTTTCAAAAAAATCACTTTGAAATTGTTAAAAATAGGAATTAAAGCTAAAAGAGAAGAGATCTTCAAAGGAAACACTGAAGTATTGGAAGAGGCGGGAAAAGGGAAAGAGGGCTTGGAATATTTCCTCCTTCAGTGCTGAAATTCATTTGGATCTATGTGAGATTGAAAATGTTTTTGACAGTACAGAAATAGACTATTCTAATCCTACTACCTACCCATAGTAACATCAAGCAATTTCTCAAATCAGTGACAGGATTCTGGCCTCAATCACTCTTCCTGGTAACCAATTCCAGTCATTAGGTAGCCTCTATATAAATAAATACTTGCTTGAATCCATTCTGAAATTGCATTTCACAAACTTGGGCCCTCAACTTATCAAATGTGTTGCAGTTTATCACAGTTGAGTTTCAAAACAAATGGAACTTGTTTTGGGTGAGGTCTGAAAGAGCATTGAAAGCAATATAAAAAGGTAAATATTCAAGAGGTATTGCTTGGTCTAATTTACCCAACAAGTGAATAAACCCATCTGAAGAAACAAAGCATTTTGAACACAAATAGAAGTTCTAAATGAATTTTCAAGTCCGAATGTCTTATATAGCTGTAGAAAAGTAGAACGGACTCGAACATTATATCTGGAGTATGACCCTCTGTAGAACAATGCACAGTACCTGCTTGGTAAGCTTCCTTTATTTCTCTTATTTGTTGGTTGTTTCTTGAAACAAGAATTCCAGTCAGCATATCTTCAACTGTACCAGGTCCATAAGAAGAAGAAAAAAATCGCTTTGGATTATTTTATCATTGAAATCTTTACCAGAAGTAAAGTTTAGTTTCAGCATCCTGGAGCAGGCAGAGGAGGAGAGAAAAGGCTGGGATGGATACTATCCCCCAAAGCGGCACAACTTCCAACATTATCTGTCAAAGTTCAAATATGAATAGTAGTCATTGGCAGTATAATCAAATGTATAGCACGTAACCTGTGCCTATTGAACTCTAGCCCTGGAGAAGGGGAGAGAAGGAAAAAAAACAAAAAAAACTTTTTATATTACAGGCCTCAAAGCAAATTCACTCCTGTTTTCAGTAACTAACCATTAAAAAAATACTAATCTACCTTGAGGTGCCTGCAATTGAACCTCTTCAGCCACTGGATACTTCATTGGCCACTGGTAGTCGCTGTTGCCATTCTCAGGTGATGCAAGCATAATTACATACATTCATAAAACCCCTGGGATTAAGTTTTTCTGAAAAGGAAAAGAATGCAAGCAAAGTTAGCTGAATTCAGATGCAGCCCTCAGCTTTCTCTAGCACCATTATAGAATAAGATAATGGGTGATCAGAATTTTTTCATAAGATTTCACCTATACATGTATGAAACAACCCCTGGATATCCCAGGGGTTTTGAATATAAAAATTACAGCTGGACTATGAGCAATGCTTAGTGTAACCAGTATATCCTGTGAAGCGCTTTGAAATGTCTCGACAACATGATAAGGCGTTATATCAAATACAAGCATTATTATTATTATCTATTTTGATGCTGGTTACACTAAGCATTGCTCCTAGTCCAGCTGCAATTTTTGTGTATTTTTGTAGGCAAAACGCAGCAGCCAATTGCAATTGCACACAGCAATGTTCCACAAACAGCCGTGGAGTGAGTGACCAATTTTATTTGGGGGAATTGTTGGCCAGGACATTCTTGCTAGGGGATGTCAGCACTCAGTAGTTTAAGGGTGCTTCAAGCCCCATGTCAGGACATTGTGTAAGTCTGCCGCAGAGGTTCTGTCCTTTAGATGATACAGAAGCTTTGGATTTGAAGCGCTAATACATGATCTTCAATTATAATAGGCTAACTTCATGAAAACTTTTACTTAACGGATGCATCACTTAACCAATGAGCCTTACATTTGACCTCTTTAGAAAACAAAATCCTCTTATAATTTTTTTAAAACTGTCAACATGAACAGGTTTTATTTTCCATAATTATTGCGCCTTGTCACTTAAGAAGTTTAAATATGCTCTTGTTTTTGCACAAATGTACTGTTTCTCCCCTCACAGCTAGTACAGGCTTATGTTTGTCATGAGATCTGTGTAATTGAATAGTAACACTACATACACCCAAGAAGATGAGAACTACATCATTTACTGGTTTTGAAAATAAATAATAATGACCATTATTCTATGCATGAATCCTATTGTAAGCACAAATAACCAAATCCTCATACATTTTCTAACAAGTATATTATCATCCTAGTGTGTCAGCAGGTTACTTTAGACTGGGTGGGGTAGGAGCGTTATTTTATTTTCAGGGGGTTCCCTAGTATGGGATCATTAAGGTCAATTATAGCACAACTGTTGCTGTTGGCCCAAATGAGATTAATTAACTTTGCAGTAACCTAGCATCAAATACTTTCAATATTCGAGTGAATGTAAAAGCCATAGCACATTGGACCTCAAACCATTACTGTGCATATTAGTATCAGTGACAGTGCAGAGGTTTGGAAGAAGGTCATATTCATAGAGAACAAAGGGAAATATTTTGACAAAGTTAGTGTATTGATTCATATACAACAGCGTGGTCCAACAGGTGGCCCGCGGGCAGCATGTGGCCCAGCGGATGATTTTATCTGGCCCCCAATTATTTTCAACATTCCAACTTCCATTCCCTCCCTCCCTCTCTCCCTCCCTCCCTGGTGAATGTCCTACCAGGGCAGTGGCAGGAGCTGGCAGTTTGGGAGACACAGCACGGAGGTGACAATAATACCAGCCGTTGCTGCAGTGCGTACCGGAGCCGAGAGGAAAACAAGCGTGTGTCCTTATCCAACCACTTTCTTAGTGAACCTCATGGCTGATTGGGAGAGAAAGAGAGATTGAGAGATGGGAAGAGGGAGTGAGGGGGGACAGAGAGTGAGAGGGACAGAGAGGGAGGAGAGATGGGGACTAAGTAGTAAAACATGTTTTCAATATGCTGTAATTTTTCTTTTGAATCCTGAGTAATATGGAGGTATCTGGACAGTACAGATAACTAAAATCATACTACCAAGTGACACAGCCTCCTACTCACTTGAATTGGGAGGTTGGGAGGCCGGGGTGAAGTGGGGGTTGGTTGGAAGGGAGGTCTGTCAGCTCTTGACAGGGCTACTAGGTAAAACGTTATGCCAGAAACAGGAGATGTCTCAGGGACATAATGAGGAAATAAAAATCCTTGCATTTGATTTCCAAGAGACATCTCAAGACGCTTCACAGGATACACTGTAAAGTGTGTATTTTGTGGGTGACATGACAGCTAATGAGTGTCACCACACTTTACAATACAATCCTGCACAATGCTTTGAGTTATAAATCTTTTCAACTTCAGGATAATGATTGGATGTATATCCACCTGGCTGGCTGTAGGAACTCTTCTCTTCATTCCACGGTTGTTTCAAATGTTTGCACTTAGGTAATTTGATCAAAGTATACATACTAGACTTAAGAGTTTGTCAAAACAGAGAATTCCTGGAAAACCTGTTGCCTTGTTTGGTGTGATCGTCACTTGCAGTATTGAGCATTCACCAAGTGAAACCCATCTACTTTTAAGAAGTGTAAATTACTACTTGGATGAGAAATTAATACAACTAACGGTTGAACATTTGTCTTTTAAACACAATTTTAGTTCCTGCTCTGAAAACAGAGGAAATTACTTTGACTCCTATCTGCACTGTTATGTGTAGACTACTTATTACTTACTGTTTAAACATATAACTTGTGAATAACAGAGCAGTACAAGATTAAGCAAATGACAAAAATGAATGAAGTTCAGCCCAATAAAATTGCTTACATGACAATTTATCAAAAATAAATATAATGTAAATCAAAAGTTGCAGTTTCCCCATATATATATGTGTATGCACTGAATGTTACTGAGATTTGCAAACTATCCTCCAAGTTAAATTCATCATTTAAATTCATCATTGTGGAGTCCTGTAGCTCAGTGGCTAGAGCACTCGCTTTGCAAGCGAGAGACCTGAGTTCAATTCCAGGCAGGGCGAAACCTTGGGCAAGTTTCCTCACTCCACACACCTAATAATAATCCCTCCAAAACCAAAAACAATAATAAATTGGTCATTTTCAATCTACGACTGTTTGTGGGACACTGCTGTGCGCAATTGGCTGCCGTGTTCGCCCACAAATATACAGTCAATTCACTTTACAGTGTGTTCTGTGAAACGCTTTGGGACGTCCTCCCGACGTGAAAAGCGCTATATCAAATGCAAGAATTATTATTATTATTATTATTATCATTTAATACACAGATGTTTGCAGGAGATTTCCCTCACTGTCCAGCGCCTTGGAATGTCCTCCTGATGTGAAAGGTATTATACAGATGTAATGTTGTTGTGCTCAAATTGGCTGCCCCGTTTGGCTACAAACACAGTCATTAAACTTTACAGTAAAATCACGTGAAGAGCTTTCAGATGTTTTGACCACACGAGAAGGCACAATATCACATGAAGGATTATTATTATTATTATTAATATTATTATTATTATTATTATGACAGTCAATTGTGGGACTACACAGCTATAAATGGGACCACAAAAACACTTTGTTACAATAAGTTTGTAATAGATTCTACTTCTCAGAAGCTTGCTTTCATTTCAAACAATTTTTTAAAAAAAGCTAAGGATATCTTGGTTTCGGAGGGATCCATCATAAAAACTTTGTTGTTATTACAAAGATGAAACTCTGTGTTGAGAGAAGAAACCACCGGAACGGGGCGATTAATCTGTTGGAATACTATGGAATGCAATGGGAACAAGGAACCTTGACAGAAAGAGAAAGATAATTTAAATTTACATTTCACAGAACTTTCAAAAGCATTTCTTTCTGCAGATTTGGAGGTTATAAATAAATGCAGCAATAAGAGATAAAACAACAAATGCTTTTGAAACTACAAATCTTTCTAAAATAACACTTTGCATCTGGCTATTCCACTGGTACAATACAGTACTGTTACATTTAGAATATAAAACATATTGAAACTACCAGTTTTTGAATTTGGTCTACTTCTCCCTATATTTACTCTTTGGTTAGGGCTTAATGTATAGTTTGGGGTCCAGAGCTATGGGATTTATTTGTGTATAGTATGAGCACACAAAGAGTCGATCATACTGTTTTGCTCTCTCTTCCGCTTTCCAATCTTTGTATGGACTGTTTTAAGAGGTCCGAAACACTATATAAATCATAGAATCATGGAATTATACAGCACAGAAAGAGGCCATTCGGTCCATTGTGTCTGTGCCAGCTTTTTGATAAGACCTATCCAAATCAATCCCACTCCCCTATTCTTTTCGCATAGCCCTGCAAACTTGTCCTCCCCAAATGCAAATTTATTTTAATGCTATTACTTCAAAATGTTTATTTTCTCCAGCTACAATATTGAAGCCATTTCTTCCTTGTTTTCAAGATGATGCTTGACAAAGAAGATTCAATGTAATGGAGAGTGGAGAGTTGGATTAGTATATGTGACTGCTGTGGAGAAAAACTTCAATGGAGACTTGATGAGCTAAACAACCTGAGCTGTGTGATTCTATAGCCTTAAATGAGGACTGTACATCTTAAAATTGACACTTTATTGCTATTTGTAATGTGTATTTGTCTACAAATACATAAGATCCTTGCTTTGAGAAATCTTGGCAGCATGATAAGGTGCTGTATCAAATGCAAGGATTATTGTTACGTGATGCTAGAATGAAGCAGCTTTGGTCCCGTAGTATAACCACAGAATGAAAGTGATTTTTGAAGGGTAAAAAGATAAGTGTGGCACGAGCAATTGAGTCTATGTAAAAATTAATATTATGACCAATATTTCTTTGACTAATATAATTTTATTAGTCTGGATTAGGCTGAATGATCTTATACATTAGAATACATCAGAATATTCAGCACAGAAACAGGCCATTCGACCCAACTGGTCTATGCCGGTGTTTATGCTCCACATGAGCCTCCTCCTGCCCTTCCTCACTAAGCCTTCAAGCATATCCTTGTATTCCTTTCTCCCTCATGTACCTATCTAGCTTCCCCTTAAATACATTATGCTATTTGCCTCAACAACTCCTTGTGTAGCATGTTCTACATTCCCACTACTCTCTGTGTGAAAAATTTCTTCTAACTTCCCTATTTGATCTATTTGTGACATATTGATGTCCCTGGTTTTGGTCTCCCCCACATAGGGAAGAAAACATCTTCCCTATGTCTATCC